TCTAAGGCCTCGGACAAAGTTCATGCAATTTCATCGTCGCGATTCTTCCCACAAAACAAACAGTTACGAGTCTATTGCTGCCGATCATCTTGCATTTTGGTCATGATAGTTCTCCAACACGACCAGTCGTGACTAACTATCACAATAGAAATGCCGAATGATTGGAGTACAATGGACTCGTTACAGTTTGTCTTGGAAGAATTGCGGGATGAAATCGCGTAAACTCTGCTCAAGGCTCAGGATGATTATTGTAGTTGAAAAACTTTTGTAAACTATAGGAAATGATGTACGAATGCGAGTTGGAAAACAAGACAAACGACTTGTCTTTGATTGATTCCTTTACGAATATATCCAATCCGTAAGTTGACAGTAAGTGGTAAATTAAACACTCGTAGCTACTTTTTAGCTCTAGTCCAGAGCAGGCTGCTGATTTAATTATATCGTTTTGCGTAAAGCTTCGTCAAGTGAGTTTTTACACTAGCTCTTCACTATTAGTCACAAATTGTAAAATCTATTAGAAGGATACACTCTGCAGTTTCTATTGAACAATTTCTTTTAGCTACATTTTGTTTCTTCAGAAAGGTTTCTTCGCTTTACTAGTCAGCCGTCACCATCTCATTTTTAATTTAGCTTGGTTGTTCTGTTCTCAGTATAATCTCCAACGTCGTCAAGTCGTCTTCGGAGTTCTTTTGCTTAAGATTCGCAGGCAAAGAAACTGTAAAAGAATTCAAAAAATAAGGAAACGACAACGATATGGAAACTGAAACACTGAGGGCAAAATTTTGCCTGTGAAGACTCAATCATAGAAGTGGAGCTTAAGGAACATGATTTGCTTTGCTGAGAGAGTCATGTGTCCTATGTTTAAACAGACTCTATGAACAGGGCCCGGCACGAGTCGGTTTCTAGGGTTTTTGAAAACGAAGTCTCCCCTGACTTTCGGAAGTTTTACGAAGTCCCCTTTGACCTACCTGCTTAGGAGAAGATGAAAACAAGAAAGATTTACTAGTGTGAAAGAAAAGACGTAAGGTAAGAGTGAAAATCCAAACTGGAGCTGAATGCTACGCATGTACAAGACTTTGGCATTAGAGCGCGATATTTGACAAAGCGAGAACAAATGAAGGCAAAAAACAAAGGAAAGGCAATGATATAAAAATGCCTTCATGCTCAGGGATAGATTTTTGACCGGGGAATCCATCCATACCAAAAAGATCCGAAACTTATGTGAAGTGAGGAAAATATATGCTCCAGACGATCTCAGATCGTCTGGTGGACGTCTGGAGACGATCTAATTTTGGAAAAGGTATTACTTCACATAAGTTTTCAAATCTTTTTACATAATACTTTCGCAAATAATTTTTTATGTATACAGTTCAATTTTGGTGTCATATGCTTCTGTGTGCGCTGTAAACAAGCAATTCTTTATTTTAGCCTTGCTTTCAAATCGCGCGCAATTTTCGCCTTACACGATAGAGCATGTCAATCGTGTGATAACCTGTCCGAAAAGCTTGTGTTCGACTAAATGGCGCTTATTTTTAGTGCTCGCTTCCGACTCGCCAAAAACGATATCCCCTTTGCTGTTTGCTTTAAAAACGAAGTCCAGCCTGCTTCCAGACGATCTGTGCCGGGCCCTGTCTATGAACTGGTTGTCTTGGTTTTTGGAGACACCCTTAGCCATAGATTTCAATTAAATAAAGTAGTGGTGAGTGTCAAAATAAAGCAGATGCTTTCACCTTTGGATTAGAAGCGTTAGCTTTAGCCAAGATACCTCCCACAGCAACACTTTATTCTCTGACATTCTCTTATTGTCCTTCTTGAATTTGCATTAGCATACCTAACATATAGCATCAGATGTTCGTACCTGTGTTTCACTATATCTCAGTTGTAGACTGTTCATAATAAGTTTAGACTACAAATACACAATATAGAAGAGTAACAAGGTGGGGATGCAAAATGGTGGAAAATTCCGTGATATGTCTTTTCAAACATGAGGAACTTGTCAAAAGTAACAAATCAGGGTAAGCTTCTTGCTTCAGCTTACAAAATTCACTTACTAACATATTCTACCTATAAACAAGAATATAAATGTGTGGGGTGTCAATGGCAAATGTGCATTACATCCAAATTCCTTGCGAATAGGCATAAACGACGCAGCTCAATTTATAACGGAAGAAGATAAATAAATTGATTACAATCTCTCTTTTGGGAGCATAAACTTTGGTATTTACAGAAGCTTTCTTGGGCCTCTTTTAATTTTTGAGTAGCTTTTTAAGAGGCGCCGCATAGGAAAATTGTCATATAAGCGATTTTCAGAAACATCATTTGTTTTTCAATTACTTCGATTGTAGGCTATCACTGAACTTTCAGGTCAGTTCAACGACTTTCGAATGGCGTGTCACCATCTCGTAAAGAGTAGCCTGCTGACATCATTTGCTGCAGCGAGGTATATCACGTTGGACTGGATTCATGAGGTCAAGGAGAAGAGGTATAACCAAACCAAGTCTAACTATAGATGAAGATTTATTTAGGAGTTTTTTCATCAAACGTACTACTTTCACTCTCACTTTCATGTTTTGTGCAATTTTATTGCTACACTTCGCTTTGCTTCACTTTCCTCGTACTTGCAGTTCTGAAATCAATCTCAATAAAAATACTCCGGTGAGTTGATCTAACGACTTAATTGTATTTCCGGTTTACCAAAAGTGACTTGAGCCTTACTTAAAGGTTCTATTTCGACCATCTAGCTGAACAGAGCTCCATATCTGTCAAGCCATGGTGAAGGGCAACAAATCCTTGCTACAGAATGCCCACCAGACGTACATGATTTTTATTCTGCACATGTAACAATCTTGTGATATGATCTCATTTGCCTTCCAATTCTACTAATAGATAAAAACACCGCAACGTATTTCTGCTTTTTCGATACTTTATGCATCTGCAGTTTGAAACATTTTTAATCAAGATTAGTTAACGGGTAATCTACGGAATTGAATACGAAAGTCAAAACTGCCTCATAATGTTATATAGTCTTCGTTTTTGAGAGTCTAAGCATCTATGTTACAAGTCCTAGTTACTTACTTATGTAAGGGTCCCTTCATACCGGGCCGGCAGCCGCCGCTAGCCGCCCATAGCCGCTTTAGCGCACTATCCAGTATTCCAAAGCCTTTCCAAAATGTAGAAAAATTAAGTTATTCGTAACCAGCATATTGAACAACCCCAGCAAGCCAAGTTTGAGCAAGATTCATGGTTTCAATTTTGAGATGCGGATACTGGGATAGTGCAAAAGCGGCTAGCGCGGCTGTCGGCGCGGTATGAAAGCACTCTAAAGTGATGCTTTTTCTTTACTACCGTTTCTGCTTAAAATCCCCCCTCTCCCCCTCCCTCTTCTATACTTATGAAGCACTAACTCAGAAAAACACACGGTTCCTCATAAATGATTGTGCCGCAAAGCATTGTACAGAGAAGACAGTGGTAGGCATTGTTTCTTTTATCAACAGACGGAACAACATGTTCCGTCTGTTGATAGAGAGCCCTTGCATCAGCATCCTACTCTCAGAGAACCAAAAATTTACTCACCAAGTTTTTCTGTTTGTCAAGGTGGAGCTGTTGGATCAAATAAAGATAACTGATTAAAATTTAACGTGCGTGGGATATAAGACTTTCTTGAAAGATTTGTAAAGCTAAAGCTGTAACTTTCATTTGGATTTGTAGGCCCGTATGCACTAACACGCTCGCAGCGAAGGGAGCGGCGTTCCTCGTTTTGAAGGGGCGCAAGCGAAGATCTCTGAACTTTTCATCATTGAACCTCACCACAGAGTTAGTGCATAGGAGCCTTAGATGCTTCATGAAAGTGATCAAAAACACATCTTTCAAGCATATAATTATTTGAATCCCTTAAGCTGTGTACAACTGATCCGGAAATTGAGCGCTGCGCCGGGACTGTTCCTGAATGTCGGATCATCTTGAACGCAGCCTTACTTTTGATGATCTGTGAAATGTACACAAAGACACTTAGAACTCTGGAGATAATTAGTGTTTTTCACTTGAACTATGTACCAATGCAGCAAATTTTGTCAATTTTTTAGTTGGAAGAAATGCAATAATTTTCGCTAGAGTATGAGTTGATTAAAGCAGGTAACATTACTTTTACTTTACGACGTACAGTTTTCTCAGCTACTCAGTTAGCTAGAAAAAGCTCCTGCCGAATGCCTGAAACACGTTATACGTTTTTTGCTTTTTATAAAACATTTAGTTTTGTTTAAAAAGAAAACTTATTTTATTTTTTGTTTCTCGAAGACCGCTACAGTAAATGTTATTTGCTTCTTATTTTCTTACAAGGAGTGAGTAAAGAACTTGCTATAAGCAGTAGTGTCAAAAAAACTTCATATTTTTGCCCGATTAGCTTGAGAATTATGAATAAGGTGTTCCTGTTCTTCAGTCAACTCTCTGATATTATTCAACAATAAGCAGCAACGGTAAAACTTTGGATGCACTTTCTTCTGAACAATCAAAAAACAAATGTGTGCGACAGGAGAAATGAGTCTTTCAGGTGAAGAACAGTTTGGTGTAACCAATCGGATAATTCAAGTACGTGGGATTATCCAATTTTTTTCGCTACTAGTTTCACAGCTCCAGTATTAACGCTTTTCGTTTTCAATGCATATGTAACAGCCATCCTTTAAGCTTGCATGATGCAGATTTATTGCAAACGTAGTTTCCTGACTAGATATTTTGATTTATGGGTATACGTAGGGGATGAACAAATTTACGGTTCAAATAAGTCACCATTTGAACGTGCAACATGATTAACGTTTAAGATGTTTGTGACACACCTCAATTCCCAACAATAAGTGTCTATGAGGACAAGAGCATGCCAGCAGAAATTAATGAAAAGTTAACTAGAAGAATCAAAGTTAAACTTGTATGTCAAAATATGAAAAACTGTAACTCGAAATAAAGACAAGAAACTGAAAACAAAACAACAAATTGATAGCTGATTTAGGCGGAGTGATTGTAGAAAAGCTCAGCAAAATTGTCAGATCTAACAAGCTGTGCCAAGAAACCATGCGAGGACCTCTGGTATTAGAGGCGAGATAGTGAATAAAAAAAAGCCGCTGAACTTTCCAAGTGAGTAGTTGAGTGAGCGGTGATTTAACATGCAGTGAAGACGATGAACAGTGCAATACTGAGCAAAAAAGATGCAGATCCCGAGATGATATGGAAACTGAAATGTAAGAATAAACGTAAAAAAATTATTTTGAAAAAATCAAGTCCACCTATTTCTATGAAACTCAAGAAGTCACGGTTAAAGATTTTGATTCTAAGCGTGCTTTAATTAGGAGTGGAGAGACCTGAGCCGGAAAGTTTGTGCAATAATTGAGAAATGTGAGCGAAAGCAAGGAGTAAAAGGGATGGTAGTTACGGTACCAATCAATCTTTCCATGATACATTTTCTCTTAATTTGTATCCTTTCGTTAACAAGAGTTCCATTCCTTTGTTCTCTTAATTTCGTCCATAGCTTTGTTTTCAAATTCGCTACTCTATTGAATAAATGCTTTCAGTTATCAGCAGACGTCCGCCATCCATCTGTCTAATAGGCCCCAGGCAGACTTCACGCGATTTGATCGTCGCGACTGAATCGCGACGAGACAACTGTTACAAAATCATTCCATGTCGATCAACTTGCATTCGGTTGTGATACTTTTCCAGCCCGAAATTTTTGAATGTGAAATGAAAATGAATGGAAATCTTGGCGATTTGTTCGCGACGATTAAGTCGCGTGAAGTCTGACCGGGGCCATACGTCTTCGCCACCAACGCTTTTTTGTTCGTTGGATATGAAATGAATTCAGATAATAATGCGATTCTTTTTGTACTGCTTGGATAAAAGAGCCCATTTTTTTTTTCGAGACTTATGGATATGAACCGCAAATTGGCATAATAGATTTGGCACTCTCCCTTGCCTTACTAAAAGGAGCCTCTTAGTGAAAACAATCATGATTTATAGGCAAAAATGCTGTCACCCTCTGCTAACATATTGAAGTTTTGCTCAATGTGGACTTCCGCAAACTCTATTTATAAGATGGTTTACTTGGAATGCTGACGATCTTAGGTGTCGTGTATCAAATGCTGCTTTCAATGAAAGAAGCCTTGCTTGAAAGGAGTACACTTCGCGAAAAACTTTGAGCCAGATAATCGCGAGCAGCTTAGGGTGCCTTCATACCGCGCCGACAGCCGCCGTTAGCCGCTTTTGTGCACTATCCCAGTACCCGCATCTCAAAACTGAAACCACGAATCTTGCTCAAACTTGGTTTGATGGGGTTGTTCAATATGCTGGTTACGAATAACCTAATCTTTCTACGTTTTGGAAAGGCCTTGGAATACTGGATAGTGCGCAGCGGCTATGGGCGGCTAGCGGCGGCTGCCGGTGCGGTATGAAGGGACCCTAGGTTTACATGCATCCGCGGATCTACCCCTACCCTACATTGCTTTACGCTATAGAGCACTTCCATAGTAAGGAGCATTTTATTACGCTCACTTGTGCACAGTGACTGTACTCAGGACAACGATCTTGAACAGTGAATGCTCTGACAAGACTTATCATTGCCTGAACTAATATTGCCCTTATCGTACTTATGCTCCGTTAATGGAAAGCAAGATCTATAATTTGAGCAATCAAGTTGATGTGAGCTATAGCTGCTTTATCGCACTTATGCTCCGTCAATGGAAAGCAAGATCTATGATTTGAGCAACCAAGTTGACATGTACACAACAGATTTTATGCTTAAAAGACATTTGAGAGCCACCGAAACTGTGAGCCATTTTGTCAATGGCCTGGATTTCGTCAGTTGCGTCTCTGACAAGTTCTACATTCAGAATACTTTTCACATTCCATATTTGAACACATCATTGGAAATATAATTTTTGCTGTCGTTTGTTGCTATTTGCTTGTTTCCGCGATAAAAATTTAAATTTGTACACTCGATGTTTACCCCAAGTTCGAATTTGAGCTAGTTGCTGCGTTTCGAGCGTTATCATACTATGATGGCAGGATACTTCCGAACGTCAGCACATTTTCCATTAAACGGTAATTATGCACTCCCTTGCAAGGTTTAAATAGAAAAGTGCAAATACACAATAATATTAGGTTGTCCCGAAAGTTTTGTCGGTTTTTTCAAACCACTATAAAAATAAGCACAATAAACATCTGAACGAGTTTCAACATGCATTATATGCAGCTTTTTCTTCTCTTTCTTAAGGATACATTATCGAGCCGCAATCTTGTATGCTTTCTTGATAATTGTTAAAATTTTCCAACCGCCAATCTAATCTTGTCAAAGATGGGCTAATTTTCAAAAATTTCATTCTATAGTTTCCAAAATGGTTGAGTATGATTCTGATAGAGCACTTCTACTACAAGGCTACATTTTTAGATTCCCCTAATCTGCTGTTTATAGCTTGAAAAAATTACTTCTTAAGAGGTTTCGATTTTTGGCAAAGTTATGAAACACGCAACTGCAGCAAATCCGCGGAAATATTCAAAGTTTTTGCAAATTGAATAATGATTCTTATTAAACATCATTTATGCAACATGAGCAAGTTTGATTTGCCTTGAAAAAGCAGCTTTTTGGAATTTTCGGTACTTTTTACGTGGTAAATATAATCAAAAGGTCGCGGTTTTTATTAAATAATCAATTATAACGGACTTGGTAAACGTGGCCCATGTTCTAAAATAAACACAATGTAGCCAAAGGTTTGCTCTACATGGGAGTTATTAGCGCTCTTTGAAAACATCAAAATAAAAATTTTTAAAATTCAGAAAAAATTTGGCGTTACTGCTGAACTGCTCAAAAAGCCGTGGCGATAACATTGCAAAGATAGGGTAGATCAGAGAGAAAATATATCTGTACGAAAGAGGATAAAAATCTGAATCAAATGGTATTTACCTTGCACATGGATTGGTGTTCTATGAGTTTCAGTGATCGATGAAACAAACCGACAAAACTTTCAAGACAACTTAATAGTCTCGAAATGTGTGGGAAAGCATATACTCTTTGTCACAAAATTGTAGATATTATCCAACAATAAAGTTGGAATCTTGCCAACAAATGATAGGTAACAGTGATAAATAATGCTGAGCTATTTTTGAATGCTCAACCCTCTATATTTAGTAGTACATTTTCAATATATTGCTTGTTTTAGAATGATCATATCAGTTCTTGAGATGATGACATGGCGATATTTTATCGCGTTTGAAATGATTGAAAAACAAACTGCAAAGTACTTCCACCCTCAAAATTAGCTCTAAGGAAATCGACGTACCTAAGACTTTGGATTTCGGGGATCTAAAGTTTTCGGCAAAACCATTTCAGCTTGCAAAAAAACTCTTCTCAAAGATTTCAGTGTAAAGTGCAGATTACTAAGGTTTTTGCATGGTTTGAATAAAATCCAGTCCATCTCCAAATACCTTAAATGCATTTCTGTTTGTCAAGAATAAAAAAAGTTAGCGTCCTATAGAAAATTTTTAGTGTTTCTGTGATTAGCCGCCGAGAACGAAGCTTCCAAAAAATAGCAATTCGATTTCTGCGTTTTTGGTGCCACAAAATTGAGGCCTAGCTATACAAAACCTCTAAAAATTTCGCACATTGCAATAGCTCATAGTCTACGGTGGCCTACTGTTACTCATCATTGCTTTCGAGGGTTGTAGCGACTATACTGGATAATCATTAAGAACGCTAAAAAAGGTGTTGCATTGGAGAAGCTGCTGCCAACAAGACAGACCAAAACCCAACAGATATGCACGACAATCCATTCATTGAACAATATTCGGTTGAGACAAATGTTCCGACGCCATTTTCAAGACCACAGCTTCTTACTATTCTAAAACATTACAAGCTTTTGAGTTTTTTGGAAAAGTAAGTTGTGCTTTTCCTAAATTGCTTGAGCTGCTTTATAAATAGTTTATTCATACATATATAAGGTGCGGAAAAAGTACTGTCCTTTGAAATATCGGCAAGAAATTGTCCTGATTTCCATGTTTCTCTGGTGAATTCTACATAAATCCCATATGAATACATTCAAGCCTTTTAAAAAGATTTCTTGCTACTCAAAATCTTCTACCTGTTTTAGGAAATGGTAGTGACTTCGAAAATATTCTGAAAGTAGCCAGTCCGCAGTGGAAAAAATACTAAAAAGTCAATCTTCTTATGAAACTAATTTTTTGGCATTTTTCCTCAAAAATCATGACTTTTCAAAAAATAGCTCGATTAGCGCAAAATTTACTCAACTAGAAAGAGGGATTCAAACACCTTAGGATACTGTCTGTTTTGGATTATGGCGCAGTCTTGGAATTTTAACGGGCTTGCCTCGAAGTTCCGAACTTGAAGTAATTTCCTTTTCCCAATTTTATCGCTGCATTCTGAGCTTAGTAGATAGCAGCCAAGGTAATAGTTATGTTTCCGTTGTGACAGTTTCGGCGAGAGCTGAGATAAGTGCCGAAAATTAAAACCCATTTTTACCATGTCTGACATCCATTAATTTTCAGAATTCATTTTAGACTTTTGAAGGTGCTCTAATAACCAACTGATAAGGCGAACCTTATTCAAATTAATGCAATTTTTGCATCTTTCTATCATGCTTTGTAGACTTACTAAATTATTTTCTGAAGTGAGCAATGTTTATTTGGCTCATTCCAACCTCGCAAAACATCATACGTTGAACAGTTTAAGTATCGTTCGATGCATCTTTTTCTCCCCTTTCTAGAATCTACCTTTTCTTCGCGAAACACGCGACTTTTGCAGACAAAATTGCTGTACTTCTCAACTTTACGCGTGCGAAAGGTTGTAGCCGAAATTCCAGAATCTATCCATTTTCACATCGTAATCGCTCATTTATTAGGCTGTCCGGAAATTAATGCAGGTTTTGAATTCAACCGCAATAAGTCATACACTTCTCATTCCCAAGTAGGTTGCAAAATACCATTCAATAGAGCAAAGCAAGCTCTACAAGATGGCAATCTTGTTTTAGCTGCAGCTTTGATCCACCATGAGTTTTAAGCCAAAAACTAAAAAGATTCAACTGCCCGAAAATTTGAGAAAAATCAAAACTTAGTTCATAAAATTCTACAAAATTCCAGCTTGCTCACGTAAACACAATTCACATAGGGCATCTATATACGCCGTTGCCATATTTATTCCTTGATTAGAAATGAAAAAAACGGAAATTT